TCAAAACGCCAACGAAACGTCAACGAAACGTTATTACATATTAATCTACTGTTAGTCATTACTTTAGTCCTTCATTTTTAAATGTTTTACATGTGTCAAATGTCCTTTTTCATCAGATTAGATGAAATATTTCAGTCAATCTAGTGAAAACAATCATTTCGTAATTTTAGTCAAACTCAGTAGATTTGATTTGATGATTATCTGATCAACAACACAAGCTGAAGGATTAAGAATGCAGCTCTAGGCATTTCAAGGAAAAGAACCAATAATCTCTGGGAACTATTCCAATCATTCTTTTATGAAGAGCTTTCATACAAACAAACACAACTGCCTCACATGAGACAATACCTGAGTTAGAAACACTCACGCCAGTACAATGATTGGAAAATGAAAGCTTTAAAATGATACAAAGTGTTACAGGCTTTACGGTTAACGCAGTACTAGTTTGACTTCACTTCAGCAATATAAACATTTTGTTATTTTAGAGCCTACCGAAACAAACAAAGACCTTCTAGTAATCATGTAACCAGACATGGAAAGATCTCCCTGATAAGAAGAGTCCCTCAGTTCAACACACACAGTGTCACATGGAAGGAAACAACCTTCTGAACTGTATTAATGCTGCTGCTCTAGGATTATTCAAAATACTATCTATCATTAATTGATAATGATTTCATTAATATGTATATAATTATCTATTTTTGCAAGTCATATTGTCATCGCAATGTTGAACCACGTTATCATGTCAGATGTTCCTCATATGGTGCAGGCCTCCTCTAGGTCCGGAATGGACTCAGACACATTTTAATGCAGCAGTGTTGGAGGCGCAGACAGTCCTGTGATGTGAGAGTTTCATGCAGAGCAGCAGGACACAAATGTGTCCTCACACACTCTCTCTCTCTCTCTCTCTCTCTCTCTCTCTCACACACACACACACACACACACACACACACACACCATCACATTTACGCAAACCCCTTTTAGGAGCCCTGAGCCTGTGTAACAAAGCCTCCGTGATGTGGGGGTGTTGCCCTGCTTCTCTGGCAGCACCCAATCCCACAAATATCACGTCTTCATGAGATGCGGTGGCGGACCCGCCGCTCTCCCTCCCTGTGTGGGGTTTATATTGTGAAGATCAGCGCTGGAACTACATGAACACTATGGATTCTCCTCTTAGATCTGAAAATCATGAACTAAATGCAGACACACTGAGAGGTATGTGATAAAGTTCATGAGCTATTGTATTACAACAGAAGCCCTCCTCTTTGTCATGAGGCCTTGATAAAACGGAAATAGATCTGATTATCTCTGATGGGGTTTGAATAAAATCAGCCTTTAAATTCTCTCAGATTCAATTGTTTTCATTTATTTTTTGTAATAAAATGTGAGAGAAGAAAAGAAGAAGAGGCTGAATGTTCGATTTTATATTTGCCACAGAATCATGCTTCATTGTTTGGAGCTTGATGTGAGGTGATGAGCACGTGAGGAGGTCAAAGTGACTCGTGCAGAGTGGTAGCTGTTCTAGAGGAATGTCAGGAACACCTCTGGGTTTCTGAGCCCACTTTCGGATCAATGTTTGTCCGAAGTGGTACCGTTAGAGGAGGGTCCCCTGAGAGGCTCCTTCATCTGTGACGGTGTTCAGGCTGCAGCTCTAATCAAAGTAGTCCTTACTTGAACAGAAGTGTTCCAGCTGTCAAACTCGCTCAGGGTCCCGAGGCGGTGAAGAATAGTCCCGTCAGCGTGGAAACATCGCTTGTTGCCTCTCAGGATTATCGTCCCATTGGCGGATCGGCTCGGCCTCACTCATCGGCGTCTGGGGGAGGAGAAGCTGCTTTCATTGACGGCAGGAGACGCTGGAGAAGTGCGGCTCTGCTCCTAGTGGTCGCCGCTCAGACCGCCTCTCATTGGCCGGGACGGCCCGGTGGGCGGTGGCTCCGGTGGCCGCACCTCCTGGTTTCATGAAGACGTGATAACAACTAGTGATTATTATTGTCATCACACTTCAATAATAATAAAAAAATAATACTTATAAATGATTAATAAATTGTTTTAAATATTGAAAATCCAGCCATCCATCCATTATGTAGCCCACCTGCTTATCCTATATTATTATCAACAAGAAGAAGACGAATGACTTTATTATTCTCCTTGGCGAAAAACAATTCAAGCTATTTATTTTATACATAGCTACTGTTTATTCTACATTCTATATGTATTCCTATTATTCATTTCTGTTCGGCGTTACTGTTTGTTGCACTTCTGGTTAGATTCTGACTTCATTGTCTCAGAGACAATAAAGTTGAATCAAAATCAATGACATTAAAATAAATAAGTAAACGATATTTGTTAGACTTGTCAGTGAATGGTGCCCAGCCCTCATGGGCTTACAAGACATATACTTATAATACTGCGGCAAGAGAAAGGATGCTTCTTCCCTATCAGTACATTACAGTCATTCAGCAGACGCTTCTATCCAAAGCCACTTATAATTCAGATTCTACCCATACACCATAGGCACAGCTACGGGATTAGTGTCTTGCTCAAGGACACATCAACATGCAACTAGTGGAGGCGGGGATCGAACTGCCAACCCTCTGATTGAAGGACGGCCCTTCAATATATATATAGAGGTTCTATCATATTTCATAACAACATAACATCTACTCTTTTGCAGAGAGTGCATTGTGTTTGCTTTCACTTGTTTGTTAATATTACATTTAAAAATTGATCGTTTGAAAAATAATAACTCATAAGTTATTCATAGATTTTTCTTTAAAATGTAGAAATGGGGAAATATGTAAACACTATGAATTAGTTTTGTTAGAGCCTTTTAAGCTAAACTTCATTTAAGCGTCCTAACACCTAAAGGACTTGGCATTCTGAACATATCTGATTTCACTCAGTATGAATTGGAAATGATCACGTTATAACTATAAGAGTATTAAATGTATAAAACACACAGACAGTGATTAGACAGGATTCCTTATGTATATTCTACAAACTATAAATACCTCAAATCCGTTAGAAAGCTAGAAATTTACTCAGCGATAACCTTCTTTAACTAATCAGCAACATATACTTTAGCAACACGTTAACCCCGAACCTGCTGGTCTATATATATATATGATCATACTACATATTAAAATCAACACCTAGTATTTTATCTCTTAACAGACAACGTTATTAATGGGGGCATTTCCCCATCTGACTTTATAATAGATTAACATAACAAGTTAAACACACACTGCTTATTAAAATGTGTATTTTAGCCAAGTCACATGCTCTGTATGTAAATACATATTTCAGTAAAGTATTCAAACAGACGGACAGAATATTTGTGTGACAGTGTGGAAAATATTTTTCATTCTTCATTTAATGTGTCAGGCGGGTGAGTGCGAGGGTGCAAGAGACAGGATCCAAATGCAGAAACATCATGAGAGCTTCTAGATGTCAGGTCAACTTCAGGCAGCTTCAGATAGCTGAGAAGCAAGGCACAGAGGAACATTGTCGGTCTTGCAAGGAATCAGAGGAGATGGGCCTTAATATACTAATAATATTAATAATTACATTAGTCTGAGGGCCTCTGGTGGAGGGATGGAGAATGGCAGGCCAGCAACAGGACAGCAGAGCCTCGCTCATAGGACCCCATCTTACATCAGATCCAGGATCTAATCTGACCCGCTCGAGGTGACACGCGTCTTCTTAAAGACCAGCGGTCACCAACCTGTTTGGGAGAGAGAGCTACCTGAAGGGCCGGTAGTAATACAGAGGGCAACATTTTTATATAATCTTACCGAATAATAGATTTTTCAACAAATAATACTATGCATTTATATATATTAGGACACTGCCTGTCTACGTTCACTGATTACTGTTCGTGATTCTTCACAATCATTTTCTATGTATCCTAAACGCCCCTGGAATGGAATGTCCATTAGGGTCTGTTATCCTTATCCTTATATGTTTATTGTCATCGAAAAACATACAACAAAATGGTGATGGAGGAAACCGCTATGGGGAAAAAGCTGTTCCTCAGCCTGTTAGTCCGGGTTTTGATGGTCCTGTACCTCCTTCCTGATGGTAGTGGAACAAACAGAGAGTGACCCGGGTGTGTGATGTGCAGATGTTGCCTTCTTCTGGAGGAGGCCAGCATACACAGTGTCCAGGTCAGGGAGGGTAACTCCCACAATCCTCTGTGCTGTTCTAACCACCTGGGCCAGGTCCCTCTTTGTGTACCACACAGTAAAGCACTGACACAGGATGCTTTCAATCACGCTTCTGTAGAAGTTAACCAGAAGTCCAGGGGGCAGGCAGCTTGTTTGAGCTTCCTCAGGAAGAAGAGCCTCTGCTGGGCTTTCTTCACCAGGTGGGATGTGTTCAGGCACCAAGGCCCCAAATTCCTGGGGCTCCACATTACTGAAGACCTCTCTTCAGTAATGTGGAGCCCCAGGAATTTGATGCTGTCCACCCTCTCCACCTCCTCCCCACTTATGTAGAGTGGAGAGGGTGTGGTCTTCCTGGATCTCCTGAAGTCCACTATGGCTTCTTTGGTCTTGGTGGTGTTCAGGACCAGGTTGTTGTCCGAGCACCACTCAGCCAGATGTTGGACCTCCTGTCTGTAGTGCATGTCGTCGTTGTTGGAGATGAGTCCCACCACAGTGGTGTCGTCAGTGTTCAGGATGCACTGAAGATCATCCAAGGAAAAGACATGTTTGTCTGAAAACAATTTTCAGGTTTTATATATTATATTATTTTAAAATGTATAATTTTGATATGTGAAATGCAAATAGAAAGGCATATCTTTGTTACCAAGCAAAAAATAGGCCAAGTTGAAGTTTTCAAATGAGGAAAACATTTATACGTAAACGCTCAACGTAAACGCGTGATATAGACACAGCACACACTAGACACGCCCACACAGAGCGTGATA